AACGCGGATCACTTAAACATCGTTGATCATTAAATGGTATTTATGAGAATTCCAAATGGATGATATACTTGACAAAAAGCAAATGCAACTTGTTGTGTGGAGGCTTTGGTTCTACCAATTCTCTAATGAGTTCCAAATGCAAGGTTCGAGATGGTCATCCAACTAACCACTAATTATTGACTTGTTTACCTTATACTTTTTTTATGCTTTATGTACTATTTACTTTTAGCATTTATATTTCATGCCATTTTCATCTTTGCTCATTTGAGTATTTATTTTCTTGCCATTTTTACTTTGCTCACTTGAGCTTTTCTTTTCCTTTCTTAAAACACTTAGTAATCAACATAAATCCTAAAGAATCTTTAATGGTGCTTGGACTATTTGGTTACTATCCTTGGAATTATGGAGCATGGGACTTTTCTTGGACTTAGGATTAGAAACCTTGACCTATCTTGGAGATCTTATCTGATTATTTTGTCTGGAGTTCTTGAGGTTTACCTCAAGACATTGGGTTGCTTGTTTGTTTTTGTGTGCAGGTTTTTTTTATTACACCTTTTATTTGTAATCTAGAGTTCACCCGTATACAGCCGTTACTCTGTCCAATTTTTTTGTGAAGACTTAATACACTTGAAGTTTGATTCTCTCAAGAGGTCTAGTATTTCTTTTCTTAATTGGTTTCAATCCAAGGAATGAGAATTCTATCTTGGCTCATAATGTCAAGTATTGGTTTCTTGTTGGTTAGATGGTTCTTATCCATAGCTTTTACCTTATACTTTAGAATAGTCCCTTCTTCTCCTCTCATCTTCTTTAATTTCAAAAATCTTCTTTCCCTTTTTGAAAACTCTTCTTGTTTTTGAACTTGAACCACTTTCATAATAAACTTGGACTTATGTCCATGCATTTTCAAAACATTTTTCATAAATAAACCCCAATCAACTTAATAATGCCTTGACATTTTTTGTGAGAAGACTAAAAGTCAATCAATCTCATTTCAAACCATTTTGCCACTTTGGCTTTTATCTTTAAACTTTTCTCAAAAAAAGGTTGAACTCTTGTCAATCCTTGTAGTGATGCAAACAACTATACTTCTACAATATGTAGTAAAAAGAGATATTTTCCACTTGGGTGATGAGTGAGGCATTGTTGAATTTTAAAATCCAACCCATATCCTCCATTTTGAGATGATGAAAATTATCCTTTCTCATGATTGTGGGTAGTAGGTATGTTTTCCATACGGACAATGACAATGATGTTTCATCTCATAAAATTAACCAACGCATTTGTGTTTTAAATTTTTAAAAGAGGAACTACGCGTACCCTGATCCCCTATTGCATGAAAAGGTGGTACGTAGGCACTAAAGGTTCGCAACCGCGACGGGTGCAAAAATTATAAAAATAAATATATTTCTTTCCTTACCTCCACCATTCATTTTTTTATACAACATTTTTTATATCCAAAATTTACAGATTTTACAAAGAGACTCCTGCGGAGTACCGTAGATGTTTAGGGTGCTTATACCTTCCCTTTGCATAACCAACCCCCTTACCTTGAATCTTTCCCCCTCTTTTTGGGTTATTCGCTCTTTTCCCATTCCTTTGGAAACAATAAAGCGCAGTGGCGATTTTTTATTTTGATTTGTATAAAGTCTAGTCAATCCAATGGCTTAGTCTTGAACATTTCTACCGCTACAGTAGTGAAGTGAGATATTTTCCACTTGGGTGTCGAGTGAGGCTTTGTTAATTTCAAAATCCAAGTCATATCCTCCACTTTGAGATGATGCAAATTCTCCTTTCTCATAATCGTGGATAATAAGTATGTTTTTCCACTTGGATATGACAATGATGTCTTGTCTCTTAAAATTAACCAACACACTTGTGTTTTAAAATTTTTAAAGGTGAACTACGAGTACCCTGATCCCTTATTGCACGGAAGGTGGTATGTAGGCACTAAAGGTTTGCAATCGCGGCGGGTGGAAAATTCTAAAAAATACTTATTTTCTCATCTCCACCATCTATTTTTGTATACAACACTTATATCCAAATTCACAAATTTTCAAAGAAGTTCATGCGGAGTACCGTAAATATTTAGGATTCTAATACCTTTCCTTTGCATAACCAACCCCCGTACCTAGATTCTTCCCCCCTATTTTTTGAGTTATTCTCTCTTTTTTGGTGATTTTTATTTCATTTGTGCGAGTCAAGTCAATCCAATGGCTTTGTCTGAACATTTCTACCGCTATACCTTCCGCACTAGAAACCTCTAACATCTCCATTTTCTCTATGAAACTCCTAAACTCAATCATCTCCCTTCTTTGGAGCCCATCCCCCGCTCCATATTTGACAGAAATCTATTGTTACCTTGAACCACATCTAAATCATTTATGGAATCACAGCAAAGAACGACGTCTGTTGAGAATTGATATTCCAAACTCATCTCTGTTATACTTGAAACATCCATCATATTGCCTATCCTAATTTCAAAAGAACCGCGATTAAAAGTACGATGATTTCAATGTCCTTACACCCGTAAAAAATATCTAATGTATGGTTGTTTGAAACAGAGTGTTTCTAGTGAATCATATTTTATTGATTGAAAAGTTCTAAAAGTTATTTTGAAAAATTTGTACTTCAATAGTGAATCATATCAAGGTGGTGGAATGAAGGTGACACTATTTGCCACAATGACAACATGCGGAAAAAAGAAGAAGAAAGGTAGTTTAAATAGTAGCCGCATTTGAATGGAAATTGACATTGTTAAAAAAAAAGAAGCGATGTAGTATTTGTCCCGAAATCGATCATATGCGCAAAAAAAATTCAAACAATAATGTAACTTCTAGTTAATTGTGTTTGTTATATTAATTTATTTAAATTCATATAATTATTAAATATTTAATTATAAAAAAAAACAAATATTCAAATATACTACAAAATTATAATAACAAAATTTTAAATAATTTTTAAATAATTTTATTAGTTTTTAATTTATTTTTATAAATTTATTATATTTATAAATTAATTAAAATCATTTATTAATGATAAAAATATAAAAAACAAAAAAGGGGGCGTCATTCAGGATGGCGCCCCTTGTCTTATTTTATTATTAGAATTCTAACATAAAGTAAAAAAAAAATAGCATTTTGGATATATATATATTTTCAATGGATGGCATATTGGAATATGTTTTCAAATTTGTGGCATTTACGTCAAAATTCCAAAATTTGATATGCCACTAGTTATTTATTCTTTAAGGCTATGTTTGGATTGATGTAACATAACTCAGTGAGTGGAATGAAATATAGCGGAGTGGAATGAAATATAGCGGAACAGAATAGAATATAGATATTGTAACACTCAGGATTTTGAACCGGGACATAACTAAAAAAAATCTTAAAATGAACTTGTTTAAACATAAATAGAAGATAAAAAATAATTGATCATTCTAATGTCAATCCAAAAATTTTAAGCAAAACATCATCGCATTTCTAATTCAATTGAAAGACAATAAATAAATAAATAAACTCATAATTAACATGATATTTATTTTAGTTTTGTTTTAAAAACCCTTCTTTCCCACGATCACGCAACAAGCAACACATAAATCAATCTTGAAACTTCACACTGATACCTAAAATGTTGTCTGAATACCTATCAACAAAATGGCATGGTAGAATGTAAGAATCAATATTTGTTTGATGTAACACACACATTGCTTCTTCAAGCTTCTGTACCATCCCGATTTTGGGTGAAGACTATTTCCACAATTGTCTTCTTGATCAATCATCTTCCTTCCACGATTATTAATCTTTGTCATACCCCAAATTTGACCGCCTTAGTGCTACCGTCAAATTTATTTTTGAACTTGGGTTTTACAGATATAAATTCCTTTGATTTAATTATATTAACATTTTAAGATTTTTAATAAAAATTTGCTTTCAAGTCTGTTTGAAAATATAATAATTATTTGTAAAAATAACAAATAATTGTTTGCTATCATATACTTTCAATTGGCTTTTTACTTTCGAATAAGTAACATAGTACAGTTGGTAAGAGAGAAAGACTGACAACGGGTTTGAATCTCACTGGGTGCACTTTGGATATTAAATTATTATTTTTGTATTTATTTATTTATTATATTTTAAAAATATTATTTTTTATTAAAATATTTATTTTATTTAAAAAATAGTCAAAATACTTTATAAATAAATAAAATCTAATTTGGGTTATGGGTATTGGATAATTTCTCTTTTTGAGTGTCTCTAACCTAATTTCTACTCTATAAATAAGTATTCTCATTGTCTTAATTTTGGATCGGAAAAAACGGTCAGAGATATTCGCAATTGTACCACACATCCACAATTCTATGATTTCACTCACATTATTCACAGATCAACAATCTCTTACAATTTCTCTACAACATTCACAAATTAACAACTTTACAAACTCTATAATTTTCCATTCACTTTTTTCAACTCTTTTTTTCACACTCTTTCATATCCACATTCACAATCTCAAATTTCACTCACATACACCATAAATCCTTGTTTATAGTTTTTCTTAAGTTTTTATCTATTTTTGACCGTATGATTATTTGGTGGTCTCCTTCTTTTAAATTCCGTTCTATATTTTTGTCATAAAAATCATCACATATTTACTTTGTTACTGATTATTGTTAGAAGAAAGTATATTTACAAATAAACTAGCATATTCATCCAAACCTTAGACACAACACATTTGTACGGTACTAGTCATTCTCATTCACTACTATTTACACTACACAAAAGTCCACAATCAACAACAATTTCTATTTACACGTACATACACTCAATCCTCCTAACACTTTTCTTGTAAGGGTCCTACCCCTTATTGTTGTGTGAGTCAAAATCTATGTCTACAATTATACAAACACATGTAGTTTTCATATTATCTATCACTTTGTAAATAATCTTGTTGCAATTTTCAAAACTGACATTATCCAATATCAAAACCAATCCTCATCACTTTCACCAAGCCAAAACTGTATAATAATTTACAGGTTTAAAGCAACATAACAATACAATAGCAGAGCAGATATCAAAGAGAGAGTGAACAATAGTGACAAGAAAATCTGCAAACAATCGACACCGTCTCACGCCGCCGCCGACGGTGACGCCCAGCCTTCGTCGCACCTCTTCCCTTTCTATTGTCATCCGACTCACATCACCACCATCACCAATGTTTGCCCGGTTCAGGTAAGTTTGTTTTTGTAGCTTCTTTTGATCTTATATGATGCTTTGGTTTGAGAATAAAAGGGATGAATTTGAAATAAGAAGGAAGAGAATAAAGAAAAGGATATAATTTGGGTTGTTGTTAATATGTGGATGAAGAGAGATCCACTGTTTTGTTAGACTTTTCATTCTCTCTACAGACGAGTATACATGTATGTATCGTGATTTTATTTGTTCTTTTATTTTCATATGCCACGTTTCGGCCCTTCATTGGACCGGTTTTACAAGATAAGTTTGGGGAAGAAATTTTTACTGATAGGAACCTAGACTCATCTTTCTCTTTTCCATGTTCTTTATCTTTCTCACTTGTTTTTATTTTTTTATTAGTTTATGTTAATTAGTTAGGGCTTTAGAGTTTGTATGGGCCTTGAGCCATTCTTATAACTTCTGCTATTTTACTAAGGCACACCAACTATTTTATTTAGCAACTTTTTTTAGTATTATTAAATAATTATTAGACTTTTAAGGTAATTAAATATATATATTTTTTGGACGAATTTTCCTTTTAATCAAATAAAGTAATTTTCTTTTAACTAACATCCTTATCAAATTAATATTATTCAAAATAAACAATTAAATTTTTTATCATTTACAATCAAATATCAAAATCTATGTAAATTCTAAATATTTCATTTGCGAGCGACACGTGGCCAATATCTGGCTATGTGGTGAGGAAGACTATATCAGACTTCCTCCGCGTCCTTCATAACAAGCAGCACGAAGTCAATATCTGACCGCGTGGTGAGGAGACTATATCAGACTCCCTACCCCACGTCTTAATCAAATTAAATACCAAAATAGCTAATCAATTACAAACTATTTTTTCTACTAACATAATCAAAACTCAAGATTATTTTCGAAAAAGGATTAAGGAGAATTATTTTAAATTAACTGCGAACTGCATCTACAATCATACACCTTTCAAAATTCAGACAAGGTTCAAGGATAAATTCGAAAACAATTCTACGCGATCCTATAAAAAAGACCAACCCCATACAAACTACGAATTATGACTCTGATTCCTCATAAGAGGATACATAGGCATACGATCAAAAATCGTAGCGAGTTCCCCTATTAAAAAATTAGGACACTTTTTTGCTAATTAAAACTTAAAACCGTGTTTACCCCAAACCTAAATCTAGAGCTTAATATCCTTGCGAACAAGGTGGATGATAGGTGCCTAACACCTTCCTTTCGTCTAATTGAGTCCGTAACCTAGAATCTCTGTCCGCGAATTAGGGTTTTCTGTTAGGTTCCCTTCCCTAGGATAAAAACTAATAGTGACGACTCTTGATTAAAAAACCAGTTGCTACAGTTGGCGACTCTGCTGGGGACTTCTCATTAACCCTAGGTTTGGGTATTCTTGGGGTTTATTATTTTTATTTGCTTTATTTATTTATTCGCATTTATCTATTTTATTGCATTTATTTATTTATTGTCAATTTTTACTTATGATCATATATACTGCGTGGTGGGTTTTTATTTCGAAAAATATTCTCAAATAACCTTAGCAAGAAGTTTCGCCTATTAGCTTAGGGGGTACATCATCCCTGCGAGTTTATCTGACGCCTTCGCCTAGAGTCGGTGAACTTCCAAAAAAGGAATACTTATCGAGAGATATCCTCTTGACGAGTAGGACTTTGGAAGGTCACTAATGACTCTTTGTAACGGCCTTAACCCAAAATCTCATGACGAGACCTTTCACGACTTTGAGACGGACGTCTCAGTCCGTAAAGAGGCTCCACTTAAGGGAGGCCCTTGCGCCTTTTCCCTCTGGTGTTATTCATAATACCCTTAAGGAACCCACCTTTTGGGAGGGTAGATCAACTGTATGTCAAGACTAAGGAACCTACCTTATAAGGGTACTTATAACAAAACCCCGTCACTGAACCATACATCCTTATCTTATAGGGGTATTTATCACAAAAATCCTGTCACTCGACCCTACACCTATGCATTCATACATGTCATGTATTCATCATGCATTTCATATATTCATCACCCTACATTCGTCTTATTCACGGGGTACAAGAAAATAAAATCGAGATCTCGGTGACTGTCTGTAAAAATGGATACCAAAGGAAACAACTTGCCCGCGTCGACACGCCAAACATGCCTGAAATCAAGTCCACGAAAGGGAAATGACATGTTGGAGACTTTCTCAAGTTTTGTCCAGCAACAGTGGATGGTTTCAAAAGCAGATATTTACAGGCACGCATAGAAGACTCATTTCCTGGCTGCCTAACTTCACGCAAATAAAGTTTTGGCTAAAGATTGTAATACTTTTCAATATCTGAATTACGTTACCTTCAATAAAGTCGTTTTGTTTCCACACACCATTTGCGTACCTATTTTTAAAGATAGTCGCCAAGTAAAATAATAAAGGACAAGCATATACCCAAAGGAATAAGACATTCACATTCATTCGCACTCACGCATTCACGAACACCTGCATGTCATGTCAAAACTCTTTTTTCCACAAGCATCTCTCCAGTTGAACCATTGGTAGAAGAAGATCGCCACCTCTGTGGCCTCCATATCAAACAAGGGCTTATCAACAAAAAAAGCAATGGAGAAAATCGAGGAAACGCAGGCTACGTTCAAAAAGGATCTCGACCAAGTAAAGGGCGACGTAAGTTCAACGAAAGGAGATTCACGTCAAGTTCTTCTGGCTTTGAAGAACATTGTTGATAGGCTAGACCAAATTCCCAAGGTAGCTTTCGAAGAAATAGCCCAGACTATTGGTGTATCAAGAGGTCACCAACTAGGGAAAGAGCCAGAAGCAGGAATCCCAAAGTCTGTCATGGCCCAGCAAAAGGCTAAAACTGAAGGGTCTGTCCTACCGCCACCAAAGGTAGGGGCATCTCATACCCTACAAATTCCAACCAATGATGTAGACAATTACTTGGATCGGCAATACGGATATCACAACCCAAAGGATGCCAACCAAGTGCCCTCAAAGACAACTGGTACTCGTGCTATTGATAATCCATTGGTGATGATCAATACCAAGCCTTGGAAGAAAGGTACATGGCTAACAATAAATGCAGTCGAAGTAGCCACTGACTCTGGGGAAAGCAGGCAAGCAAAGGGCCCGATAAACTCGCTGAAAGAATATTGGTTGGGGCATGGACTCCCGCTAGGACACAAGGAAGCTTTCGAAAAGCTCTACAAAGGCTAGGAGACCAGGGGATAGTCCAGTTCGGAAAATACCTTGAAGAAAAATATAAAGCTACTTTGAAGGACGAAGCACATTTTCCTCTGACCCAAGAGACTTTTGTCAACAATGGAGTAGTGCATGGCAGACATGGGGCAAAAATATTCAGCTAAGCCAACACCAAAGGGGCAACTGAAGTCATCCAAGAATCCACCCCAGGAGAAGAACTCAAAGGATGGACGATTGTGGAGATTCCTGAGATCTTTTTCTTTCTTAATTAGTTTTTCTTGTTTTCGAAAGAACCTATGTCAAGCCCGAGACATAGGGGTTGCTTGTAAGGGTTTCCCCGTTTTGTTTCAGACAATATCTGCGATTAATAAAAGTTATATTTTTTTTTCAATCAAGATCCATGTCTTTCTCTTGCATTTATATCTTAAATTTAAAAATGGAAATACTTTCTCTGCATATGCATTTTCAAATATTCAAAATACTAAAGTTGCACCAAAACATGCTAAAGGTGTAAATTCATGCCCAAAACCACCGATAATGCTATTGCTGCGACCCGATATAATTTTGATGCTCCTATCAACCAAGCTAAAGAGAAAGATGATAAAGATCTTGAACTCTCTGAGAAAATGGCGAGGGAAATAAAAAAAGAGCTAACAATACGCAATCGTACCTAGAGGCTATTAAGACCATTAATCTGAGTACAGGGAAAGACCTGGAAGAAACCAAGCTAAGGGGAAATGTTAAGAGTGGAGCCACAAAGAAGCTGATCAAGTTATTGCGCATATCTACGGAAACAGGCCAAAGTCGAATACAGACAGTGTCATTGTTGTACCCCAAAATTTGCCCTCCCATATTCATCAAGAAATTGCCAAGTCAAGGTCACAAAATTCCCCCAGGGTTGTGCAGCTCAACAGCTTCCTATACAGTCAAAACTAGGGTTTGAGTTCTGGTCAAGCAAATGAACTTTTCAAAGGCCCAATCAAGTCTCATATGCATACAAAGATGGTCAAGTATCCTCATGTCAAGTTTCAAGGCATTCAGCTCAAAATTGCACAGTCAAAACCCTAGATTGCACTACAGTCAACTGTAGGGGCAAAATGGTCATTTGACAGTCAAAAGTTCAAATTTTTGGTCAACATATCATTTTTAAGCCACAAACATCATTTGATCAATGCTTGATCATGATTCTCAAAATTTGGCTCAGAAATCATCAAAGATGCAAAAGTTGCTATATTTGGACAGCTGAAAAAGTCAACTGAAATTGACCAGGGCATAACTTTCACATGGATTATCAGAAAAATTCCATCCAAAGCTCATTTTGAAGAGAAAGACATTTCCTACAATTCATCTTCATGTTTCAAGTCCAAGAAATGCTCTCACAAAAAATTATCAATTTCAACATTATAGGTCATTTTCAAAAGTCAACAAAAAGGGACTTTAAGTCAAAGGCCATAACTTGAGATTGGTAAATCAAAATGACATGGGACCAAAGGCATTGGTTAAAGGACTCAAAGACCTTTCCAAAATGTCCAAGAACATGTGAAAAGCTTAAAAATTGACCAAGTTATGCCTTGTGGAAGTTGGGAAATTTTTAGGAATTTGGAAAAGTCAACATTGATGCAAAAGGCCTAAATTTGCTATTGGGCCCATTTTTCTTCCAAGTTTCTTCATGCCAAGCCTATGCACGACCACTAGGCCCAAAGGGAAGTATTTTCATATTTTTTAATTATTTATTTGAATTAATATTAATTTATAT